ATATATATATATATATATATATATATATATATGTGTGTGTGTGTGTGTGTGTGTGTGTGATAGGAGATTGAGAGTATATGAAAGGAGAAGGAAGAGTTAGTTAGCCTAACTGCCCTGACAGGTAGGAAAGCGGGAATGGGTTTGTATAAATAGATAGGCTTTGTTAGTTGTTGGGGGACTTTAGACTATGGGTAATCTGTACAGGAATTGTTAATCTTGTAGGGGGAGGTTAGGCTCTCATGGTGGCCTTATACAGTGCTCTGATAGTGCATTTATGGTAATAGTTGGGTTTCTTGATCAGAAACCTATCAATTTGGTCCGACCTGCCGTTTCGAAGTGGGGGTGAAGGATCAAGAAACTGCCGGATCCGAATTGGGTGTGAGAGCGAGAATGGAGAGGGATACGGAGGGAAGATTGGAGGCAATCGAAATTACGATGGAGGGGATGAAAGCAAAGTGTGCCGCAGTACGGAGGGATTTACAACAGATAATGAGGATTCTGGGTACTCAGGTCAATAACTCGAAGGGACATTCTGACGATAGCTCCGTGAACGAGAATCGACATCGAGTAATGGGAAATTGGAGGCAGAGGGGTCGGCGACCGCAGTGAGGATCAGAGACCATGGCAGAAACGGGTAGAGTTACCCACGTTCGACGGGATGAAGCCCCTTAGTTGGCTCAATTGAGCGGAACGATTCTTCGACATACAGAAGGTGACGAGCGATGAAGAGAAGGCGGAGATTGCGTACGTTAGCATTGAAGGAAGTGTGGCTTACTGGTTCACGTTCTGGAAAGAGAAGGCCAAGAACTGTTCTTGGGAAGGCTTGAAGGCGGCTATGGTCAACCGTTTTGGAGGAGGATTCAGGGGGAACGGTGTTTGAGAGGTTGGCGACGCTGCGCCAGGAGGGTATCGTGGAGGAATTTGTTCGCGATTTCGAAATTCTGATGGGCCAGACCAAGGGCGTGCCCGAAGAACAAGTACTGGGTTATTTTCTCGCCGGATTGCGCGAGGACATCAAAGGGCAGGTGAGGATTCAAGATCCCCAGGAATTAATGGCAGCAATGCCAATCACTCGCAACGTGGAAGATGCGACGCTACAAACGAAAGGGGGAAACTGGAGTGGGTTCAAGATTAACCCATCAGGGTCGCGATTGACGGGGTAGTGGTGCGATCCGAACCTAATAGACCCACGATGAACCAGTCCGGAGGAACGGAGAGTATAGGGTCGACGAGAAGAGACGGAGTCACGACGAGTACTAACGAGGAGGTGAACACTACCGGAGGGAGCGATAACAGGAGAAGAATGGTGAGGAATCTTCCTTACCCAGAATTCCTTAAGAGGAAGGAAGAGGGCCGATGCTTTCGTTGTGGGGGCCGTTTCGCCCCTGGCCATCGTTGCGCCGAGAGAAGTTTGCGCGTGTTACTCTTAGTAGAGGATGAAGAAGACGATGAAGAGGAGGATTTGCCACCCAAGCCTCTTGATCAAGCTTACCTGTTTCAACCTTGAGGCAAGGTTGTTTCGGCCAGGGGTGTAATGATAGGAGATTGAGAGTATATGAAAGGAGAAGGAAGCGTTAGTTAGCCTAATTGCCCTGACAGGCTTTGTTAGTTGTTGGGGGACTTTAGACTATGGGTAATCTGTATAGGAATTGTTAACCCTGTAGGGGGAGGTTAGGCTCTCATGGTGGCCTTATACTTGTATTCTTTCTGTTGATAATAAAAAGAGAGGTTATACAGTGTTCTGTTAGTGCATTTGTGGTAATAGTTGGGATTCTTGATCAGAAACCTATCAGTGTGTGTATTTTTAAAGTATATATTGCTACAGAATTTATACATAAGTATTAAATACTTATAATATTTTGTAGATGTGATTTATAAGGATAATTCGAATATAAAAATTGATTTCGACACCAAATTATATATATGTCCAATCATGACTCTCCATAATATATGCATGGTAAAGAATAACAACTCCCTCCTTGTGTGCTTATATCTCACCTAATAATATGATTCCTGTGCGTGTATATTCTCTCATGTTAAAAGTGACGGCCTATATGAATGAGTGGGACTAACAAAAGGAGACGATTCCAAGCCTAAGTGATAGGGAAAAGAATGGATGAAAAGAGACAATCAGCACCTGCTGCTGGACAATGGTATGAAGGGTCCGATGAACATCTCTTGCCATACCCTTAGCATCGCCACAGACGTAAAGATAACCTCCTTGAGAAATCAAATTCCACAAATTTGCTGCCTGCACCGAGAAAATTAATGCAATGAAAAATTTATCTATAGGGCACCCATTGCCTACAAGGTAGGCAGCTAATGAAACTTACTTTATCAATCATCTTGTGTTGAACATACTCCTTTTCAGGTCCCTCTCTCGAGAACGCGACTATCAACTCTGACAGAGCACCTTGTTCCAGAAATTTGTTTAGCTCATCCTCATAAATAAAATCCTATAAACAGGAAACCCACATCATGCTAAAACTCCATTGGGATTGAATGCCCACCAAGTAATTATTTTACCATTTGACGATTCCTACATCCAAAGAAGAGTAATGCAGTTCCAATTTGAATACCATTCTCTTTCAGATCCAATCTTTCCTGCGTAAGTCAAAGATAATGCAAGAATTAAAAGACAGAATCTTACCATAAATTAAGTTTATAGAATCAACAATATCACTTTATTCAAGAACACTTGGGAATCTATAAATTATTGTGTATTTTGTCCAATTTACTTTAAAGAAATAATCACTATCTTTGCCAATTTCTTGGAAGAATTTTTGAAAATAAGTACTTACTTCTCACAACAATCAATTTTCCCAAACAAGCACTTAATCATTTAGGTAAACTACACTTTTACGATAAACTAGGACTTGAATTGGAGCTTCTAATTCTCATAGAATAAGAATTATGTATTTTATATTTTAGCTCACTATCGTGGTTGATTTACATATGTAGGTAGTTTCTATCTGATTCCTCTTTGTCCTTCACTCTCTATTCTACATTTATCCTAAAATCTCCTCTTTTCAGTTAAAAGTCAGTATACCCTATAAGAACTACAACGATAATAATAGGAATGTTCAGTACCTCCTTTCGATAGATATTTTAAAACTAAACTATCTGTAAAATGTTCATGTACCTGTAAGAATCCCCTGAAAGGTGCCAAGCCAGTTCCAGGACCAACCATAATAATAGGAATGGAATGATCAGCCGGTAACTTGAAGTTTGATGTTCTGATAAAAATAGGAGCCCAACTACACTCATGACTTTTCTCCAAGGGAATGGCACTCTGACAATATTATGAGGGAGCTTCAGGTTAGATATAACCAAGCTTGAATGATAATGTACACACTTTCAGGAGGGGGGAAATCCACACAAGGTGAATCCATCAAAAGTTTATACCTTCATCCAGGTTGAACATACTCCTTTGTGAATTCTTCCAGTAGGAGTTGGACCGCATACCAATGCACAAGTTACATGTACCCTTTGAGGGGAAAACCTAGAAAATAAAAACTAAGTTATTTATGGCCATTCATCCAGATATTTTAGATAGTATAAAATAATCACCTAGGTGACGATGAAATAGAATAATAACGAGGTTGTAAATGAGGGGCTACTGCAGAAAAAAAAACACCAACGGGTGGCTTTGCTGATGGGAACTCAGCCATAACCTCAAGGAGACTTCTCTGACTTCCAACCACCCATTTGGAGTACTCATCCTAGAAAACCAAAAATTTTAAACTGTTAATAGACGAAAAGATAGGATATCAACTTGAAAAAAGAAACAGTATAACTCAGCAGTTTCTTCAACCTTTCCCTGAGGAGATGAGAAGAAATTTAATCTATCTGCTTCACTGGGTTCCAAAGTGTGTGCAGCCAGAGCCACTAAAGCAGCCTGAAAGAAAAGCACATCTAACTGTTTCTTCCTTTCTTTAAAAAAAAATCTATTTATTGAAGGGCACTGTTATATAAGAAAAGATAAAGAAACGGAAAACATTCAATGAATATTATATAAAAACCTTGCGTGGGGGGTTCAAGAGATCTGCAAAATGAGCTAAAGCAAAGCGCAGTGTGCAAGGGCCAGGGAAAGGAGGTGGAAGAGATCCTCCTACGGGAGTACCATCCTCATTATCAGTGTGAAGGGAAAACAACAAATCTAAATCCTGACCCAACAATTTTCCAGCTTCTTCAACAGTTTCATCACAATTTTCAGCAAAAACACCCACATGGTCACCAGTTTCATATCTAAAAAAAGATCAGACAAAACCATCCCCCTCATTACTTAATTCTTAACAGTTGAAGCTGGAGAACAATACTTTCTCATGTATCATGAATTATTGGTACAAAATATTTAAATACAAGGGGTCTGAATAAAAATCACTGAAGTTTAGGAATTAGGATCAAGCTATTCAAGTAAACTATATAATCAAGGGAATATCACCCTAAATAAGGATCACACTAGATGAATATAATGCTCAACACGCACCCTCAATTTGAGTCTATATATTATATTCATACAGCTGGTTATGTGATAAAAAGTTGTCTTAATTGTGATAATCCTTGGCCACCTCTTTGGAGAACCTTTATTGTGTTGGGTGCAGGGGAGTGTATGCAGCCGCAGACAGAGTAGAGATGTAGTGGATGTGGTGTCCTTATAAAATGCTTGGATAATCCTCACCTGTCAAGACATCTTGATAGGTTTCTGAATTGGAAACCTATCTAAATTGCACTTAACACACACTCACAGCGTAGAAAAGAAGAATATACTGTATAATTCTGTTATTCAATATAGTAAATGCACAGCCAAACAAACTCCAAGAGAACCAACTTCTCTCTCCACAGGATAAACGTGATCCTGTCTTTACAATATGCAATTCAAAAGTGAGTATTACTCAAATACACCAGCTCTTTTTATAGGAGCTTTATTTCCCGCCCAAGCTATGATTTCTGTTATAACTGCCTAACGTCTCTCCCCCTCTTTATTCCCTTTTTTCTTCTTTTCATAAACTCTCCATATCCTATCATTACCCACCGCCTTATGTTCAACCTTATCTCCAAGGTTTTATGTTCAACCTTATCTCCAAGGTTGAAGTCTAGAAACTGTTCCTGAATAGTAAGCACGTCCTCCCATGTTGCTCCCTCCTTCCCCCTTCCTGCCATTCAACCAATATTTGCGGTATCAGCTCCTTGTCCCTCTGTTGGTGTCTTCTGTCCAAAATCCTGAGTGGCCAAAACATTGGGCCCTCTGCTTGCAGTTCATCTGGAAGATTCTTCTCAACTTATTTGGTACCCACCGCTACCTTCAATTGAGACACATGGAACACAGGATGGATTCTTGATGTTTCGAGTAGCTGTAATTTAAAAACAACCTTTCCAATCTGCTATATCACTTTAAAAGGCCCAAAATATTGTGCTGATAGTTTGGGATGCAACATAGTGGGTATGGAAGTTTGCCTATGAGGCCTGATTTTCAGGTACCCCAATCGACTTTAACCAAAGATGGTTTCCTCTTCCTGTTAGCATATTTGGTCATCAAATCCTATGCTCTTGTTAAGTGAAATCGGAGTTGCTTCAGCGCCTCATCTCTCGTCTGGAGCTCTTGAGCCACAGCCTCTACTGCAGTTTCCCCAGGGATGAAACGAGTGAGTGCAGGAGGTGCCCTCCCATAAACAATTTCAAAAGGGCTACATTTAGCCGCACCCTAATAGCTAGTATTATACCAATACTCAGCCCAAGAAAGTACTGTATTCCAACTTTTAGGTTGTTCTGAATAGAAGCACCTCAAATAGCCCTCCAATATTCTGTTCAATACCTCAGTTTGTCCATCAGATTCTGGGTGATATGCAGTACTCATTTGCAGCTGGGTGCCCTACAGTCTAAATAACTCCTTCCAGAATATGCTGAAAAATAAAGGATCTCTATCACTAACCACTGATACTGACACTCCATGTAACTTGACCACCTCTTTAACAAAGATTTCTGCTATGGTTTTTGCAGTGTAGGGATGTTTAAGAGAAACAAAATGACCATACTTGCTTAAGCGGTCTACCACTACCAAAATTGCATCATATCCCTGTGATTTTGGCAGCCTGACTATGAAGTCCATGCTGACTTCTTCACAAATGGCTTGCGGTATTGGAAAAGGTTGTAACAAGCCTTGAGGAGAAGATGCCAAATACTTGTGCTGCTGGCACACCAAGCAGCTGGCTACGAAATCAGTGACAGCTTTCTTCATTCCTACCTAATACAATGCTTGGGCCACCTTATGATAGGTTCTATAGACTCTTGAATGCCCTCCAGTATTAGTGGTATGGAATTCAGCTATAAGCTTAGGAATCCATACAGAGTTGGCAGTTAGCACCAACCTTCCCTTGTAGTGAAGTCTATAGTTCTCCAAATTAAAGGCAAGGTGACAATTAGAATTTGCTCTCACTTCTTCTATTATCTTCTTAAGCACCACAACCTCTTCTACCGCTTCTACCGCTTTCATCTTCATTAATGCTTGCGATTCCACTGTTTTTCGTGCCATAGTGGGGTCCCCTTTTATTGTTATCACATTTTCCCCTTGTTTGTAGACCATTTTTAATTCTCCCTAATTAATGGTCACTTCCCCCAATTTAGTTAACCACTCCATCCCAAAAATCAAATCTACTCCTCCTAATTCAAACAAATAAAAATTCTCCAATATATTTGTTTCTCCTATATTCACTGAAACATTCCTGCAACAGCCCCACATTTGTTTTTTCCAGCCATCTCCCAAACTCACCCTGTACAGTGAGGTCTCTTCTACAGGTAAGCCTAGCTCCTCCATCAATTCGGTTGCTATAAAGTTGTGGCTAGCACCACTGCAAATGAGGATCAGCACTTTCTTCCCCCAAACCCAACCCTGGAACTTCATAGTTTTATGCTGAGTGAGGCCGCTAGCGGAAAACGACTACAACTCCATGCGTTTCTGCTCAGCTTCTTCCCCACCTTCTTCCTCTTCGTCACCGTCGGCTTCGTCTTCTCCCATGATCACCACTCGCAAACTTTTCTTTGGACAGCGATGTCCTGGACTGTATGGGCCACCGCAATGGAAGCACAACCCCTCTTTTCTCCTCCTGATATACTCGAGATAAGGCAAACTCCTTACTCCTCTCCCGCGACCATCGCTCATAGTACTGCTCCCCGCTCTAGATGTTGTCGCTCCCGGAGGACCTTCCCTTCGGGTCGTCGTCGCACTCTCTGCTACCACTGATCGCCCCGAACCCGGTTTAAACGATTTTGATCTCGCTATCGAACCCGTCCCACCTTGGAATCGCCCCCACGATTGGCTGCTCTTGGTTCCAGTTCCTCCAGCTATCTTCGCGCCTCGACTCGCCTCCTCCACATCACGCGCGACCTCCATCGTCGTTTACAATTCCCTAGGATTATGCGAACAAATCTGGCTCCTAACTTCTCCTTGCAAACCCGCAAAAAAATATCCCATGAGTTGATCCTCCGTCACGCCCTTGGTTTGCACCACCAACATTTCAAATTCCTGGATTTACTCATTGACGGTGCTTTTCTGTTTGACCGCCGCTAGCCTCTCAAACATCGTTCCTCTGTCGTGACCTCCAAATCTTCTTACCAGAGCTTCCCTCAGTCCTTCCCATGTTGGCACCTGAGTTTTTTCCTTCCAGAAGTGGAACCAATAGCTCGCGCTTCCTTCCATGTAGATGTACGCCAGTCGGAGTTTCTCCCTCTCCTTTACATTATGGATCTCGAAAAAATTTTCCGCGCGAGAAACCCATCCTAAAGGATCGACACCTTCGAAAGTTGTTAATTCGATCCTCTTCACCCAGTTCGATTGCGCGCCACATCGATCGAGAACTAATTCTTCATCGTCGACTTCTCTTCGTCCTCCTCTGCTTCCATTCACTGAATCCTGACTCCCCTCCTGTTGGTTCTCGTCGTTACACCCTCGTCTTCCGAACATTCACATGAATTCTCTGATTTCTTGCCATAATCCCGTTGTCTCCGCTTTCAACCCATCTACTGTCGTCTCCATCGCCTCCATTCGACTCTCTAGCACATTCATCCTTCCCTCCATTCTCCCTTCCAGTGCATTTAGTTTTCCTTCCATCTCACTCCTGTCTCTCACTGATCCAGCAGGTCAGACCAAATTGATAGGTTTCTGAATTGGAAACCTATCTAAATTGCACTTAACACACACTCACAACGTAGAAAAGAAGAATATATTGTATAATTATGTTATTCAGTATAGTAAATGCACAACCAAACAACCTCCAAGAGAGCCAACTTCTCTCACCACAGGATAAACATGATCTTGTCTTTACAATATGCAATTCAAAAGTGAGTATTACTCAAATATACCAACTCTTTTTATAGGAGCTTTATTTCCCGCCCAAGCTATGATTACAGTTATAACTACCTAACGTCTCTCCCCCTCTTTATTCCCTTTTTTCTTCCTTGCATAAACTCTCCATACCCTATCACATCTTTACAAGGTTGAGTTAGACTCTATGTACAAATTTTAAAATAGTATATCCTAGATCCATTGTTGAGCCACCATTAATGCCATAGCCTTCAGCATGAGGGGGTTTATTAGAAAGTCAACTTATTTGTACCTTTGACCCAACTTAATGTGGCTTCTATGGAGAATTCTTGGACAATCTTCATCTTACAAGTTAGCTCATAGCGTTACCTTAGGTGCTAAACCCAGATTTTAAGAATATCTTGTAAAGATTTAGTGAAGAATGAAGATGTCAGCAAGTTGATCTTGGAGAAAACAAATCTGAAAAGAATATTTTGTAAGATGAAATGGCAAAGGACCTCTATATTTTGTTTTCTCATGAAAAACTAGATTGGAGGATAGATACAAAGCATCCTAAACATAGTCTATCTTGTTCCAATTTGGTCTACCTCGTTCTCTTTTTGAGCCTCTTTGGCTGCAACCTCTATTCTAGTGCAAAATAATACTATAACATTTTAAACCCTCGCAGAAATTAAAACACCTCCAACTTCATCATATCCAACTAAAACTAAATTTTACTTATAAATGCACAAATCTAAAAATATTTTATATCAAAATATTATTTAAAAACCATAAAAGATAAAATATACTATGGTTTTCTGGGGCCTTGCTTACAAAACAAATGAGGTCACTCTTTGCTGACATAGTCCAACTTACATTATGCCAGTCCCTGATATGTCGAACTCCAAATGTATGCAAGATCGGTCAGAGTCAGGTTTGTGAAGTTCTCTTTGAACGGCAACATTAACCCTTCAACAAAAGATACAACAGCTTCATCGTTGAATGCTTATTAAACAATAACAAATAGCCATAAATCAACATGAACAACATCAGATACCTGCAAGGATGGTGAATATCAAACACAGTATTCCCATTTGCCACATTTAGGTGATTATCATTGCATGATGTGACAGTTGAATTGTGAATAACCACTCGATATTCAGGAATAGCAGCCTTATAAGGAGTGGAGACAGTATTTGCATCATCCTCATCTCGGAGCAACTCATCCAACTCAGGCCATAGAGATTCCTTCCTGAAAGGAAAAACATATTAAATAGAATAAAGTAGAGCTTTCAAAGTGGGTCAAAACATGAGACCCAACCTGTGAACCACCATAGGTTCGAGCTTGGTTATAGATTAAAAATATACTCCAAATTTTGGTATTAGTCAAAATTGAACTTGGTCCACTGACCTGTAGTGTGACTCACATACACACTGATGTAGCCCAACAACAGTCCAACACAATTAAAAAAATGGGTGGGGAAGATATAAAGCTCACAGTTCCTGTTCTCTTCTCGAGCTCTCCCTCACTCACTTCTTTTCTCTCAAAAATTAAAATCTCTCAATTCACGAGCTCTTTTCTCTGCCAGCTGCTGCATGTACCACCTTCATTCAGCCCACACTCTACCGTCAACACCACTGTACACCACCAACCCCCTACGCCCTTGCACACAGTCAGGCCCAATACGGACCATTTAGAATCATTTAGTGCTTGTGTTTAGAATGCACATTAATTTAATATTTTTTAGAATTATCATTTACATGTATTATTTTATATATATTAACATATGTTATGGCCATTATATACATATTAATATGATAAGTTTTTTGTGACGGTTATTCTAGTAATTTGGAATTTAGTTCCATTTTTCATATTAGAAAAGAGTATATGAAAGAAAAAAGCAAAAAAAGCTGCAATTTAAAAAAAAAAATCAAGTGAGCTAGCCCGTTTAATCCACCAACCTGTGATAAGTTGGGCTAGGCTAGCTTTTTCATTAAGCTCATTGATAAGTGAATTGGGTTGGGTTAGCTCACCAAGTAACCAACCCATGGTGGGCTGGGCCAAGCCAGGGCCTGCTTTAAAAAAGAGCCAATAGCTAACTGAAATACCACATTTCAAACAATTTATATATATGTGTATGTATATACACAGTCACACCAGAGAATTTTATGCATAACAGGAATATACTTACCAAGCAACAAAATCATCCTCAATGGATTGATCGTCATCACCTAGCCCTAGTGGAACAAGACGCTTTGCACCTGTCACAAGCACAAGACTGCATATAAGATATCTATGCAAAGACAAAAAATATTTTATCACATTTATCACCATTTAGTCTTGAATAAACCTTAAAACTTAGATTTATGTTTTCGCTTCCCATAAATACAACTTCTATGCATTTAAATTTTAAATATAAATTTGAAAAACTCTTAAATCTATAATTTAGCAATAAGGTTTTTCCGACGTTGTTAAGACACAATATATTTGTTTAATTAAATTTTATCAACAAAATACAAGTCAATATTAAGATTTTCAGACAATTTTTTTCTCCAAGCATCAATAAACGTTTTCCCATCTGTCAGATTTCTAGTATGGCAGTATGCATACTAAAAACTTTGGATCTAACATACTCATGCACCAGCTCATGCTAAGCTAGCAAAATAAAGTTACACACGAAAATAAATGGATTTTGGAGAGGAAAACAAAAATCTTCACCACAACTAAAAATGATGAATAAAAACATATGCAATCAATTAGGAAATATATACCAATTTGACATTTGACATCACAAGAAAATACAGATGATGAGATAACAGACCTTGTTCACTAAATTCTTGATCAACTATTTCACCTATCTGTTTGAAAAGAGCATGAACAAATGATGAACCTTTTTTTTTCAAATGAACAAAATTAAAATCATCTGAATTTTACCTTGTTAAAATGTTCATATTGTCGGTTACCTAAGCCAAAAACACCATATGTGAGCTGTTGAAGCCAGGTACCCCTCTCATCTTTACCCTAAAATTATGTCCCCCCAAAATTGAGAATACTTTTATGTAAAGCTAGAGAGGAAAAGACATTAAACCTTGGAATTTCTTAGAAGAACGATGTAATACTACAAACCTCAGTGAACCATTTGTAAAATCTTGCAGCATTGTCAGTTGGTTCTCCATCTCCATATCTGTCATGTCAGGACCAAATGCATGAAATTCAATATGGATTTTAAAGAACAAAAATTTCAAGTTTTGAACCACTTTTATGCACATAATTCTTACGTTGCCAACATGAAAAATGCAAGTGACTCTTTCTTCAGCTTTTCTTCATATTGATCATCATCCATTGCATAGTCATCCTAGTTCAATTTATATATCAAATACTTAAGCCACATCAAGCTACATTTTACCATTTCAAGTTCCTATAGAATAATTCTACAAGTAACTAGTTCAAAAGACCATCGAGAAGTCCCCAAAACAAAACATTTTGAGAAGTGACATATTTTCCCCACTACAACCATGACAGAGGGATTGTCGAGCTTTCAGCCCAGGCAACTTACCAGGTCAACAACTTTCACAACTGCTTTTTCATACCTAGCCTTGATTTCCTCTGCCAAAGCCTACAATATAAAGAGCGCATAAAAATAGTGATTATATAACAAAGACATATTGACTGTATAAATTCTATGTCATCTTAAAAACTGAGTTAAGGTTTGACTCAACTCTATAAACTGATATATGCACTTAAGAAGCTAAATTTATTTTTTCTTTTTTTTTCCTATAGAAGAGTTTATGGAGAAAATTTTCGAAATAGACCATTATTCTTAAAATCAAATGTATGTCACCCCTGAGTTTACAATTGTCAACAGTGCACACTAGTATTTTCCCGTCTTCTCCTGTAACCTCAGATGCATTGGCCATTGCGGTGCTTTTTGCTTAGAAAATTGCACATTGTTGCATGCTCTATTACTCTCACATGGCAAACTCCAAAATAATCTGATTTTTTTCTGTCTTTCACACCTTTCCTTGTCACTTCTTTGTTCCCTAGCCTCAGTTTGGTGGTTCTTCCTAGCTTGTATACATCTGCCTAGGTTTTCTATATTCTCTATCACCATCCCCAACTTTTTGTTCTCCATTGTGTATCTGAAACATGATCGGCCATTATCTGGTGCACTCTCTCGACATTTCTGACCTTTTCCGGCAAATTCCTGGTGTTTCAGAACTTTCCCTGCCCTCAGACAGGCACCATCTCCAATGTTCTGTTGGACTTCTTAAATCAAGAAGTCAAGAAAGCAAATAAATCACACCGAACAGAATGCACTTCTCTAAATTTACTTCTCTTATTCAATGAACCAAGAATACAATTGTATAGCAATCACCCCTCAAGGAAGCCCGATCCCCCTCCACTGGACTAATGTTCCAGTCAACAACAAAGTACCAATTTCCTAATCCCCCCCTTTTCCACTAACTCCTTATTTATACTCCCCTTTCCCTCTAACTACTTCTAACAGAAACTCCCTCCTAATTTTTAACAGACACTCTCTCCTTCCCGCCTATATTTTTCCTCACATATACCTTTATTCCCCTATCAATACCCCCCTCCATCTCAGCAACCTTGTCCTCAAGGTTGAAATTCAGAAACTGTTGCTTGATGTACATCTCTTCTTCCTAGGTTGCTCCTTCCACTCCTCCTCATGCCATTGGATCAGAATTTGAGATACCTCCTATCCTTGTTGATTTCTATCTTTCCTCTTTAATACATTTAAAGGTCTATATAATGGACCTTCCACCTGTAATTCCACTGTTGGAACCGTGAAACTTGATCTCATGATTCCTCTTCATCATCGTGTTATCATATGAAGAGAACCCACTAGCTACTGTCCTCCAATTCAGGTCTGGAGGCTTGGGTGGGGTCTATATGAGAGAATTATTGACTCCTTCTGTTCCATTAATTAGAACTGCTCCTTTTTCAAGATTCCCCTAGACCATATGATTGTTGTATACTGCTTTCTGACCTGTGACCTCTTACCTTGTGGAGCACAAGTATTATAGTTTGTTTCTGAAACTATCTGCATTACTTCAAGTCCTAAAGTTTCTTTCCTACCATCTTTACCTTTCACCACTTTGAGTAATATAAGATTGCTAGTTAATAATTATTCTGCAAGCAACCTGGAAATTCCTTTGTGGCCAATGCTAGAAGCTAGATCTGCAGGTTTTATAACCTTAGTAATTTCAACAAATGGACTTGTAACAGCCCTAGTGGATGCACCCCTGGACACCCAGACCACAGCTGGGTCACTTCTTGACAACACTGCTTTAATCCCAGGCCTCAACAATTCTTCTCCTTTCTTCACTATTTTGACATACCCACCACAACCTACCACTCTATCTTTACTAAAAACAACAGCTTTACTGGAAAATGGGTTGTTACTGGGCCTAATAATACCCAAGCCCAACATCTCTGGACCTACTTATCTATTTCAGTCTTCATTAAGTGGGGATACTTATAGGGTCTCACGTTCACTTGTTCAATGCCTTCTTTAATGGTTATCTGGTGGTCCACTCTTTTGACAGGAGGAAGTCCTTGTGGCATCTCAAACACCTTCTCAAACTCCCCCAAAATCTTCTCCAGATTCTCCTCCTGCATGGGCGTTAAATCCTCTACTATTAAATTTTCCTCTGCTATTTCAGATTTACACAAACCCCACACCATCGCCAGTGTCTCGATCTCGGTTTCCTTCTGCAACACTTCAGGGGTAATCATTTTCCTCATTAATGTGTTGTCCCCCCTTATCACTACCTCAGCCTCCGCCGACCCATACTTCAACGTCATCTTCTTCCAGTCCACCCTAATCTCCCCCAATTTCGCCAACCACTCAACTCCCAACACTACATCAACTCCTCCCAACTCAAAAAGATAAAATTTATCTCTGATCTCCACTCCCTCCACTGTCAAGGACAGCCCCATGCAACATCCTTGTGTCTCCTTTCTCTGGCCATCACCCAAACATACCCAGTACGGTGTCGTCTTCTCTTTCTCTAACCTCAGCTCTTCGACCAAGCGTGTCGAAATGAAATTGTGACTTGCCCCGCTGTCGATCAACACTACAATCTTCTGGTCCCGAACTTCATGGTGTTGGATTGCGTTATTCCTCCAGCTGAATACACCGACAATTCCATGCAAAGTTGTTCCGCCTCCTCTTGTGTCTCCGCCTCTTCCTCGTCGTCATTCGCCCCCATGATCATTACCTTTAAACTTCTCTTCGCACAACGATGGCCTGGGCTATAAGGAACCCCATAGTGGAAACAACGACCCTCTTCTCTCCTCTTTAGGAATTCCAAATATGGTAGAGTTTGTACTCCGCGACTCGGCCCGCCTCCGCCTGCATTGCTTTCTACTTTTGAACCGGCGGTCCTGGTCGTCACTTCTTTCTTGGGACCGAGACCTCCGCCGCTGCTCCCATGCCCCTTTGATGACCCGCGATAGGTCTCCGTTCTCGCTACCGTGCCCGCTCTGGCTACATATTTCCCCAACGTCGATCCTCCTTTCATCGCCCCACCACCGCCAGACATCCTCGCTACTAATCCCAATTGTTCCACGTCCCGTGCCCTTTCCATCGGGGTTAACAGATCGCGCAGATCATAAGGTCTAACGAGATCCCTCAGTCCTTCTTGTAATCCAGCAAAGAAATACCCAAGAAGTTGTTCCTCCGTCACGCCCACCGCCTGAGCCACCAAGACCTCGAATTCATGTACATATTCCTCCACCGCTCCTCTCTGTCGCACCGCCGCCAATTTTTCGAAGATCGTTCCCCGGTGTCTACCTCCAAACCTCCTGACCATCGCCTCCTTCAATGTCGCCCAGGTAGGAACCAATAATTTTCTCCCCCTTCCATACAAATGTACACCAACTTCATCCTCTCCCTTTCTGTCACATTTTGTAATTCCAAGAATTTCTCCGCCCTAGTGATCCATCCCATCGGATCGATCCCTTCGAAAGTGGGTAAGTCCACTCTCTTCATCCAACTCTTTTAAACGTCACGTTCTTCCTCTGATTCTTCATCTGATTCATCCTCCTCTGTATCCCGACCTCCATTAACTGAATGACTGCCTTCAGAGCTCCTCCCCTGGTTCCCCCTTCTCCCCCGGTCGCGATTCACGTTTCGAGCCATTCCCCTCATCTCCGCTCGAATTTCCTCCAACGTCGCTTCCATGGCATTAAATCAAGAAGTCAAGAAAGCAAATAAATCACACCGAATAGAATGCACTTCTCTAAATATACTTCTCTTAATCAATGAACCAAGAATACAATTGTATAGCAATCACCCCTCAAGGAAGCCCGATCTCCCTCCACTAGACTAATGTTCCAGTCAACAACAAAATACCAATTTCCTAATCCCCCCCTTTTCCACTAACTCCTTATTTATACTCCCCTTTCCCTCTAACTACTTCTAACAGAAACTCCCTCCTAATTTTTAACAGACACTCTCTCCTTCCCGCCTTTATTTTTCCTCACATATACTTTTATTCCCCTATCAGTTCTGCTCTTTAGTTTCTATTCAGATCACACTCTCAACACTATTCCTCTCTCTCTTACATATTGTTCTATCCTTTCATTAAACACTACCTCACACAGATCTTTCATGATTTCAACTCTGGTTTATGTTCTCTATTACCATAACAGCATATGAATGTCAGTAATTTTGTGTAATTTTTCCTATTAGAGCTTATGTGCTGATTATCTAACGTGTTCATAAAATTTCACTACAGCAGTCATCTCACTATCCATTATCCTGCTACATGCAGTGCTTTTGAGTTGAGCCACTTTGTGCCGCTACCCAAGATGGATGAAGCTTAATTTGTTACTACTTGATTCTAGGTTTGTAAGTTTTTGATTCTTTGTTTACAATTCTTAAATCAAAATTAAAGATCAAAACTTTGTTATGTATTAAAGTTCGTGCAGCATTACCTTGCAATTCTTGAAAACTCTTAAGTGCTCACTCTCATAAATGCTTAGATGTTCCTCTCACATCTTAAAGCAAGTGTTCATAATTATCTAAATCCTTTCTCGTTTATCTCTCATAAACCTAAACCATCTTCAGTTCTTATAGATTGCCTTACTTCACTATCAACATGTGTTTAGATCTCCACCTAGAATATTTTCTAATTGAGGAAAACTTTGAACTATCCTCTTCAAATCTTTTCTTTCAGAAGTGTATCCAGTCCTACTTGTGGTGTATAAGCATTGATGATATGGATAGTCTACCATTTAATCATTATTTTTTAAAAGTTAATTCTTGTCTCTGATCTTTTTAGATTCACTACATTCTCCTTGTAATTCTAGTTCACAATGATATTGTCTTCATCTTTCCTCTAACTTTTCCTATGTACAAATGTTTAGACCCTGTAGTGTCAAGTAAGTTCCTTTCGTTATATTTTTCAATAACTCACTTAGTTTCTTAAAGACGCGTTATTTTAACCACTCTCCAAAATCCAAATCAAAATATCAATTAACTTACGTCCAAAGACTTACCAGTCAAACTACCAATATTCCAAGCAACAAGACTAATCAAACACTCCGAAACCAGTCCAAACATATTTGAAGACCTTCTCTCGTTTAATACTGCAGCTCTAGCAAAAACTATACACTATGCCTCTTTCCAACTAAAGGGATAAAACTATCGGCTACCAATCAGGAAAAAGAGTTGGGAAGAATCATTTCTTAAGCACAAGTGGCCCCGGTTCACCACCCGAATCAGTTTCATTTGACATGCAAACAAACAAATATTCCCTTGAGCACATTTCCAGGAATAAATTCAAAACATAAAGGTGCTGCGCGCGCATGTGTATAAACTTATCCAGAATAAACTCAGCAACGCATTTCAAACAAAATTGAAAAGCAAAAGCTTAATATCAGAAAAGAAAGTGGCAATCATAATACACAAAAACACGAACACATAGACACACCTTGGCGAATCCCTCAGCGGTACCGGTTTGAGTTCCGAAGAAAACCACAACCCTGGTCTTCCCCAAAGCAGCATCGACTTCATCTTCCTCTTCTTCCCGCAGCGGCAACTTCGGCACCGCCAGCGACTTCTGTTCCTTGCTACGATCCGAAGATTTCTTCCATACGAAGACCAGAAGTCCAATCAGCAGGGCGGCGGAGGTGGTGACAATCAGCAGTACCGAATCCGAAACCGAAACGCCCAAAACGGTGCGCACCAGCTCGTAATTTGACGCCATCAATCGAAGTCAGAATGCACACAGAGCTCAGAGCACTCCTCTTACTCCCTCTCTCTATATCTATCAATCTATCTATATATAGTGTTATTAGTTTGGGTGTGTGAGGGAGTGCTCGAGGGAGAGCTCGAGGGAGAGCTCGAGGGAGCCCTAGGAGGTGGTTGAGCGCGAAATACAGAGAGGTAGAGAGAGAGAGTAGCCTCTCTGGCTTTCTATCTTACACTTATCAATTCACTTATGACTTCCTTTTCTAATCTTTTATTATTTATTAGTAAAGTAATTTTTATGTTGTGTTTGAATAGACGTGTTTACTCGTTTTTGCATTGTGTTTTAAGGTATTTGAATAAAGTGATTTGAGTGATATGACTATAAAAGAAAAGGGTGGGGTGACTGATGATATTGGTCCCTACCCATGAGCAGAAAGTTGGTCATAATTAGTGGAATGATTCTTTTGCCCTCTCTTCATGTACCAAAAGTGTGTATTAATTCGATATGAACAATGAAGTTATACATGAAGAAGGAATAATATTTATGCATAAACAAGAGATATGTTGGTTTTGCAAAATATTATTATAATGAAATTAATATCAAAATTTTTAAATTTGAATTTTTTATTAGATTATTGGTATTATTCATATGTTATATGTAACATCCCAAAAATACAATCTAAAACTATATAATAGAATAATCACATTAAATAATAATACAGATAAGTCTTACACTAAAGTAGAACGTACGGTTATGGTTGAACGGCCTTACAAAGAAGGACAATAAATTTAAAGTTGTACACGGGTGCAAGTCTGACCGAACGATTTACAAAAGAATTATACCGAACGGTCCTGCAAAAGAAAAGGGAAAAGGTGACCAAACGATCACCTTACTATCATACTACTATTGATCGAACGGTTCTAGTGTTCGGTCTTAACTTCTACTTCTACTAAGTTATCTTCCTCCAGCGCCTCTTCCAACAGCTCGTCTCATTCTTCTCACATCCACACGGATGATCATTGCAACAGAAGGACAACCGAACGTACAAAATAGACAAGACAAGAAACACAGGGTAAGCTTATATAATTTAATTCATGTATAAACATATATTTCACACAATCAACCAACAAGATAAATTCATCATTCGTTCATACAAGCCTAAACTAGACTGACTGTTCGGACTGTATAAAATATGTGTAGCTACGACGTTCGTGCAGCCGGGTGATGTAGTAACTAGGATACCCTCAACAGCTGTCACCTGAGGTTAGTCCTATCTGTCCAAATTAACCATAAGGACTAGGACCTCCTACCGTTCCCACACATGACTTACCCTCCTCTATGTGAGGACGATTAATCACGGAACATCAGGATGAACCGCCAGCTTAGCATGCCCACATTTATACTTTACTAATTCCAATATACATTCATGAGTTATTCCTCCCCGGAACGCTCGTCCATAATCCAAAACATTTCATCCATATCATATTATCTTCATATTTCATTAATAATCTTCTCAATTAAACCATTCGTTCAAAGATCACTAAGGGTACCAAATACCGAACGTTAAACTTTAACCTTTAACTAGACCGAACACTTGGAGTGTGACCGAGAGGTCTCTCGTTCCAGAACAGACTAAGGCCGGGAGGGTTACTATCAGGTTGAGAAAGAAACCGAGTATAATCATATATCACAAGAACGATTAAAACGAACGTTACTTACAAAGTGAGCCAATTAGATGAACTGACTCTTGAGAGCTCCAACCGAACACCGAAAAGACCATGCCAAGTACTAAGACTCTGGGCCGAAACCAATGGATACAGACACTTCAAGACATTCAAAGAATAATACTTAGAAGAATTCACATGAAGAAACTGAACGCTTATGAATACTTAGCTTATTTTAGTTTAACATCAAGAAAATCGAATGCCAGTCAATGACCGAGCACGGTAGAGAGAGAGAACTCTATTGAATTTGGACGAACGCTATTTTCATCAAGATAGATTATAGGAAAGAGAATGAGCGCTTGGTGTAAGACCGAGCACTACTAAACTTATATTAGAAGGCTTGATAAATATAATAAGATACTATTGGAGTAGTGTTTAAGAATAAACGAAAATATACAACTATGCTTTGCCGAACGCTCATGCACAGTATTTCGAAACGAAGACGCTCGTCCTCAACTAGGATTCTTCCCAAATGAAAGAATCCAATTCTAACCAAGTTCACTAGAAAAACCGAACGGTCAAGGACCGTTCAGTGACGAACGTACACTTTCATAGGGGAATTTCATACTTAGAAATCATTTATCTCAATTCAATTTCTCAACATTTATCTGCATAAGTTCATACATCTATATCATAGAAATTTCATATATTTCATACATCAGATCATAGCACAATCATATTTCACTTTAAATCATCAAATCAACGAACGTTCATGCAATATAGCAACATACAAATTAAATTAGATAAGTTTCCCTTCCCTTTGAGCGTGATCGAACGTTTCCAGAGGCAGAAATACAGTTCGCCCTCATACTACAAGTCCTTCTACCCTCAACGCACAACAATTCTCCAAAACTAAACCAAACACAAGACCAAAAATGGCTCAGAACAAGATGAACTCAGGCAACCAGAATATTGGTTTACATGTGCCAGAAAACAAACGGCTAAAGGAGAAGAAGAACTTACTAGTTAGAACCCGAAACCGATCGGTTCACACTGAAGCTCTTGACGCCGGAAGTGCTTCTACGGTGTCTGAACGGAGATGGAAGAAGAAAAAGGGTGAGATTTCGTAGAGAGAAGATGAAGGAGATGTAGTGAGAAGGAGGAGTAAATGAGATTTTTCAGAATCTGGGAAGAAGGGTGCATGCTGATAACAGTTGAAAAACTGTTATTTTCATGCTTAAAATTGATACTAAAAGCAACCTTTAACACTTAGAAACTAGCTTGAAATCATGCTTTTGGTTACATTTTTAGAAATAAGAGAGCTGGACAGGTTTATGCTTGATTTCAGTGTTTTTGTGCAGGTTTTAAGGTGAATTTGGTGAAAGAAGTGAAGAAGGATAGAGATAGAATCAGAAAAGACATCAAAAAGTGCAAAAGGGGAAGCCGCAATTGCCGCTCAGCGGTAGTTTACCGCTGAGCGGCACTCAGGCAGTCACGTTGGATCCGTTGAGGGGTAATTTGGCCGCTGAAGGGAAGAAAACAACTCACGCACTTACCGCTGAGCGGTAGTTTACCGTTGAGCGGCACTATTTTTGGGCTTGGGCCTAATTTTCTGTAATTTTAGAATAGTATATAAGCTTTAGGACGTCCTAGGGTTTGTATCTTTAGCAGAGACGAAGCAAACACTCTCTTTTCCACCCCTTGAAGGAAGATCTTGGATGCTCAGGCTACCTCCTCCTCTTTCTAGGGTTCTATCTTTCATTCTTTCATTCTTTCATTATTGTTCATCTAGTTTCACCATGAATATGGTGAACTAAACCTTGTATTGTTGTTGGGGAATCAATGTAGTTTTGTGAAACTCTCATATATGGAATTTGATTTAATGTCTTATATTAAGATATATGCTTTCTTTCATCTTTAGCTAGGGTTTTTCCTCTTTGCTTATTGCTTGCTTTGTTTAACTCATTCATTGCCATGATTATTGATTTTGTCGATACGGGAACGTACGGGGAAGTCTAGATCCGGGGAATTTCTCCCAATAGCATATTGGTTGCCTTTAAGCTCCTGCACTTTAAGAACTAATTACTAGGAATGCTAGGAATTGTATGAACTCGTAATTAGGGATAGCCCTTCTTGCAAGGTAATTTAGAGAGTGGCATTAGCATTGATGATAAGAATGATGAATTCCTGAAAATATATGAGAGTGGATAAGATGAAATTGATAACCCCAACAACATACTCATCCATATAATTCATTGAAGTGTTTGTTTTGTTCTTTTCCATTGATCAACTTCATGCATACATGTTTAGTTATTGTCTTTTGCATTAAAACCTATAATCAATTTGTTCTTAAGTCTTAAATAATCAACAAATCACATAGCTAAACTAGGCCGTGAGTCCTTTGGGAAAATGATACTTGGTCTTACCTTGTTTTATTACTTGATACGATTCGGTCACACTTGCCGATTGTTAAACAAGTTTGTGGCACCGTTTTTCGGTGCTCATAAATTTGTCATCAAGTTTTTGGCGCCGCTGCCGGGGACTCGTGGTTTAACTAGTTCATTTGTGTGATTATTGATTATCTTTGACTTGAATTTTGAATTTTGAATTTATGTTTTTAGTTTATTTTATTTTATTTTATTTTATTTTCTGTTTTTATTTTTATTTTTTCTATTTTCTGTTTTTATCTTCTCATCTCAGATTTTATATCTTCTTTTATATCTTTTTGTGCTAACCAATTCTTCTAGGGATTTGTTTGTTTGTGTATGCAGGAGGCAATTCGAACTAGAAGCAAGAAAACTGCAGAACCTCTTCTTGAAGGTTTAGACGAGAGTAGACGGAGGAGAAGAATCCGTACATCTAGAGAACTTTTTCCTCCTCCGGAAACTTTGTTACAACCATCACCACAAGGTTCTGACCATAGCACTGAAAATATGGAGAATAATAATGCCAGAAGAACTCTTGCAGATTATACAAATATAGCTGAACCTCAACACTTTAACAGCATAGCAAGACCAAGGGTCAATGCAGTCAACATGGAGGTTAAGCCAGCATTAATCCAACTGGTGAAGAGTAATCAATTTAATGGGTTGTCTCACGAAAGCCCATATGAGCACCTCACAACTTTTAATGAAATCTGCAACACGGTGAAAATAAATGGGGTGCTGGATGAAGCAATCAAACTTAGTTTGTTTCCATTCTCACTAGGAGGCAATGCTAAGCTTTGGTTAAATTCTTTTCCAGAAGAAAGCTTTACAGAGTGGGAAGCAGTGGTGACCAAGTTCCTAAACAAATACTTTCCACAATCAAAAGTAAATAAAGGAAAGCAAGAGATTTCATCATTCAGACAAGGCATGGAAGAAAATATGATTTTCTGACAATAATGATAATCAATGTTTTGAATATTATTTAATTTGTTTTCTGGCAACCAAGACTATTTATTTCCCTGTTTTGTTCATTGACAATTAACTCACAATTAAGAGCAAGATTATCATAATATTACAATGTGTGTATATAAATACGCACTCTCCCATAGAAAAGAGGAAAAA